CTTAAATTTAAATTTAGAAATAAGGTATTTTTACTATAGCATGTAAATACAGCAAACTAACAACTCTTCCAGTTATCCATTCAACATTTGTCCAAAGCAGAATTTACTGTATGAACTCACAGATTTTTCCAATCACATCATAACTGGCTGTTGGCAGGTTTTGTATTGGGATGGCAGAAAAACAACTCAGCTAACTCCTTGGATCAATCACAAATACCTTTAACTGGAACCTTTTTGGACTCTTTCTGTGCTGCATAAATTCCATGAGTAATTAATGTTCATTTGAGTACTCCAGCTATTCTATGAGCGCAATGGCAAAAGAAAAAAAACCAACCAAAAGTTCAGCATTTGATCAAAGCTGTGCCAAAATGAAAAAGTAACATCAAAAATCTCATGGTTGCTGTAGATTCCTGCATGTGATTAACTCTGAGAATAGCAATTAGAAGTAAGCAAGTTTGTTGGCCGTGATTTTAATTTTCTAGGAGGGATCATGAGAGATGTCATGAATAATGCACAGTTTTGAAGATCACACTGAAAATTCTCTCTGTAGTCAAAAAGCCTCACACGCAGTGGCCAGAGCCTGAATGCTGATGGCCATTCCTGAAGCTACCAGAACCTCAAATCTTTCTCTGAATCAGACAGGGAAGCTTTTGCCATGTAGAGCACTCTTAAAAACAGCAGAGGACTTACCCCAGGTACACCCCAGAACATCTCTTTTGTAAAATTAAACAATGTTTTGTTTTGTTTAGAAATGCAGTTTTTATTCTACAGCTTCAAAGTGACACATTTTGCCCAAAGAGCAGCGGAGCTTATGATTAATAACTGCTGAGATGAAGAAAAAGGGATTAAAAATAAAAATCTGGGCCAACTTTTAAGCATCAGAGGCTTTTTTTCCCCCAAAACAGAAAACAAAACTTAACTTATTTAGTTAAATTTTTCCAGGTTCGGATGAATTCCCATTCCTCAGCTGTGCTAAGCTGACTTGCATCACTCTTATAAAGACAATATTCTTTTTTTTTTCAGTTAAACGGGCTTTCAAATGCCATGTAAACATGTTTGCTGTTGAATGTCTACACCATACCTGACCTTGGAAGTGCTTTGTGTTGGCCAGAGAACAAAGAAATCAAATGTTTTGCTTTCCAGCCCAGATATCCTACACTTTGAAAAGCTCTTAAAAATGTAAATGAGATAATAAGCTCCACTGCAACAATGTGGGTGAATTACAGCTGGAGAAAGGGAAAACTCATTTGATTTATTTCTAAAAATGGAAAGGATCCTAAAATAAAATCATGTTGTTTGGGTCTCAGGCAGCATCGAGAGGCGGGAAGGGAAAAGTAACGGCTTTGAGAAGGCACCGCTGGAATATTCCGGGCGGATTTTGGGACCTGGAGGGGAGTTTGTGGATGAATCCATCCCAGGCACTGTGACCCAGAGCTGGACACTGATGTGGAAGGAGAAAGGAACCTCTGAGCTGCGTTTCTGGGTAGGCACCATTCATTCCCCTGATTATGCCGCTGTGGATGGATTGTGTCCAGCGAAACGCTGAATGGAGTTTATTTCGGACCCAAGGGAGCAGCACACGTGGGGTTGGTGCCTGTGGAGTTGGCCCTGTGAGGCTCCAGGAAAGCTGGGATGACACATGGGATCAGAGGAAATCCGTGGGATACCTGAGGGACAGACTGAGGCTGGGAAAAAAGGTGATTTAAAAAAAAAAAACAACAAAACTTGTAAAGCATAGGAGCCCTAAAGAGAGACAAAAAGGTGCAATGCCAGCAGTCCAAAATCCCTTGCTAAGGCATGAATTAATTTTTGGTGTTAGTTACAGGGCTTAATCTAAATCAACTAAAAGCTGGTAAGAGAAAGAGCTTGAACAATCCCAGGAACAAGTATGGAACGGGAATGTAGGAAGGATTTGGTGTTTCATGTATGAAAACTGATTTGATTATCCTTTAACCACAGGATATTTTTTGAAAGTGTTGTATTCCCTCAAAGAAAGTTCAGTTCTGAAGAATTACATAAACAAAAACAATTAAAATTCCTGATTTCTTTGTATCAATTACAACTGTGAAGAAACTATTTACAAATGTGAGATGTTTTCCTTCTTTAACCTGAAATAATTTCCTATTTTTGTAGGAAATAGGAAACTGTCTGAGAGCAGAAAGGTTTGATTCCTGATCCCATCACATAATGGGAAGTCATGGATCACAAGCATTTATCTCTCTGCTCTGAGGGTTGAATAAATAAATGACGCTTTCAAAAAGAAAAAAAAAAAGAAAATTTCCTAAAAACCATTAAGTATCAATGTATTTTTACTTTGGAACAGAAAAGTTGCTGCTCATCCTGATCAGATTATGCCAGATAATGTCAGAGCCTTTTTTTATTAGAAATATGTAATTTTTATTAGCAACTCTGCACATATGGATGTGCATCTGTATCAAGAAAAGCTCTCAAAATTTATGACCAGTGCAGAGTAAAGCTACCACTAAAGGTAGTGAGAGTTAGCACTTTTCATCTTCAAAGAATTTTTCAAATGTTACCAAATTAATATAATTAGTTAATGAAAGATGCAGTAATAAAAGCTACCCTAATTACCTACTGTAGTCTTAATTATCTCCTTACTAATGCCCACAGAAGAAGGCTTCCACTTTACATCCTCAAAACATGTGCCAACAATAATTCTGAATACAGGCCTCTCTTCAAGTGCCTTCTAAATTCAAATTACATCCATTGATGTGTTTTCTCTCCTCGCTCATGAGAAGAAAATCTCTGGAACTTTGAGAAAAAAAAAACCCAACATGTGAATGATAATAAAAATTAAAGAGAATTTTCTTCCAGAAATACACATGGATATGCTTTAAAATTTTGTCATTAAAACATTTCATTTTCCAAATCTTTCTCTCTCCATGAAGCCAGAATTATGGGCTGTCTGGGCAAAAACTTCTTTACATTAAGTGGTCTCACAATTTAGAGTCAAATACAACTCTATCCAGAGGAAGCAGCCAAGAATCCCATCCAGACTTTTAAAACCAATCATTAATTCTGCTAAAATATTTCATGGAGATAAATAGATTTATCTGGGTTTATTACTACTATAAATAAATCGGGCAAATATATCTGTGAATGCCACTGATGTAATGCCATGAGTCAGAGCAAAACAAGGGTGTTTTAAAAAGTGAAATAGAGATGTTGGAGCCAAATTGTTGGGGCATCCTCAACGCTTTTTGGGTTTTCCCTGAGCTCTTGCCCATGCCACTGCAAACAAAAACCTCTGTACTTGGAATTCTCTTCTTGGTTTTGGTGCAAAGCAAAGGAAATCTTCTGGTTTTAACCTAATACATATGTCTGCTGTTCACATATGGCAAAATTCCTTTCTGGTGGGAACTTTTTCGCTGTTGTTGCAACACACTATATATCCAAAAAGTTTCCTTTGATGTTGAACTATTGCTCCACGACTCATTATGCTACTGATTCAATATGAAAGGCAAAATTTCTGCGGTTTCTGTTAAAACAATGGCTTTGTTTTTGCAAACAAAGTTTTCCACAACCTATATGCAGGGGCCAACATTACTGCAAGAGGAAAGAAAATCTATTATTTTACACAGAAAATAGTCACGGTGTTTAATAACACAAATTATTATTCCTTTATCCTATAGGTACATTACAATCGCTATTATGACTGTACAGAAAATTTAGCTTTATTGCTCCTCAGGAACAGAAATTAAAATGCCTTAGGCAATATTTGACATCTCTCTTTCCTATTTTACTTTCACTGACCTCCCAGCCTGTTACCACCACTCCAGCTTTGGGATCTGGTGAAATTTGGAACAGCTACGGATGGATGGGGGAAAGGGAAAGACCTGAAAAGTCTGCTCCTCACAGCATTCTACTCTGCAGTGACAGCAAATCTGTGACTCCTCATGCCTAATATTTAATTTTAACCACTAAACACTATTTCATGAAGAGTGAACATGAATTACGACATGGAATGAAAATGCAAATTGTTAATAGCTTTGTAAATGTGTCCCTACAAGAATTGGTTGTCCATTTTCTGCTGCCATTATGGGAAAAAAAAAATACCTAATGTTTTCTTGGTCAGGAATCAGACAAAAGGCATAATTTCCAAAGGCACAGAATTCAACATGAATAATAGGAGAGCTCCCATTTTTACCATGCCACATTGGTAAGTTTGGCTCACTTTGCTGATGTGTCAAAATGGGAATGGAGATCTTGCAAAATTCTCCAAGCTGGGGGCTTTGCCCATCCCCAGCAGCCAAGGAGCTCCCTGTTGCACCAGGCTATGGCTTCAGAGATTTGCCAGCAGGAGATGCCCCTGGGAAGTCTAAGAATTACTCCCCTTGAGGGACTGTGGGAAGAAAGAAAGAAGGAAAGGGGTTCAGGAAGAAAAAGAGTAATTTGACTCTAGGAACAGAATCAAGTGTCTCCAGCAGTAAGGGGAAAAAAAAATAAAGCAGGTCATTTAACAAAAAAGAAAAAATATATGCAAACATTTTGCAGTGTGGCAGGCTCTAATAAAAGCTATGTTCATTTTTGACAATTCATAGGCAAGAGACTGACTGGCAGTACTTTATAAACTTGGGATCATCAGCACCAGCTCCTGAGCAGTCCCATAACACTTCCACATCACCTGGTGTCTTTTGGAGATCACCTGAGCACTCCTAGGATTCTCAATATGCCTGTTTATTCCTGCTTCGCTCCTGTAAGATATTGATGGGTTTTCAGCATTTTCTGTACATAGCAAGTTGAGCTGACCAAAGTTTTAATATAATTTTCCTGACAAGTCTTTAGGTCTGTTAGAAGGAATTGTTCCTTGTGAGGGTGGTGAGGCCTTGGCCAGAGAATATTGCCCAGAACAGCTGTGGCTGCCCCTGGATCCCTGGAAGTGCCCAAAGCCAGGATGGATGAGGCTTGGAGCACCCTGGGACACTGGGAGGTGTCTCTGCCATGGCAGGAGTGGGACTGGATGGGCTTTAAGGTCTCTTCCAACCCAAATCTTTTCAAGACTCCATGATTCTAAGATACATCCCTAAAATACCTTGATGGCACCAGCAGGGCTATTTGTAGACATAAAATCAGGCAAGGGCTTAAGCATTTTGCTGAGTCAGGGTTTCGCTGCAGGACATTATAAACTCAATTCTTTTGAAAGGCAAAGGATGCCATAAGGTCCTGCAGAGATAACAGTTCAAAGAAAACAGCAGCATAAATTGTAAAGTCGGGCATTTTTGTCAGGGGGAGCCAAGGAGGGAATTGTTTTTGCTTTGTTAGAGTGGCTCAGGTGACAGGAGGGAAAGGGAGGCAAGGTTCAAAGGCTGTAATAAACTGGCTTTCATCTGCTTTTCTCAACGGGCCACAAAACCCAACAAGCACTTGCCATGTCCAAGCACGGCTTTGTCTATGACCGGGACACTTTGGGGCTGCTGTGATGAAGCCAATCAAAAGCCTGTCAGCTGGAAGATTTACTGTAAAATTTACCTGGAGGATTCTGGAGTTTGCTCCCCCTTTTTTCTCAGCCTGCACTCAGTGTCATGGCCAAGAGCAGAGCAGAGGCTGCCAAAAGGAGAAAAGCCCTGAACTGTTTCCCCCCTGCACTCGCCGAGGTTTAGGCAGAAACACCAGTGGTGCACATTTACCAGATAAAATGAATCTTTTAAACCCAAAGATACCATGACATCTTAAGCGTACACTTATGAAGGAAAAGTTCAGAACTCCATTTTAAACCACTTATGAGAGGATTTACCAAGATTCTGCCTAATGTTCAGCTGACGCTTTGTCAAAAACATTTATCACGAAGCTTTTGAAGTTTCTTAGCTCCCCCCAAGTTATTAAAACTTGAACTGCAGAGTTTGTTATCAGCCTCAGAGCACACACAAAATACATCAGGTATTTTTTCAGTCAACCTTTCAGTCTGATTTTGAGACTATTATACAAAATACAACATTCCCAATCAGGTTAATGTCTGACAGATAATGCCGAGCGGGCGGAACCGCTGCGCCTGATTGATCCGCGAGACCATTTTCATTCCCTAATTTGCTTTTTATTAAACACTTTGGAATCAAAGGGAATGGCAAGGAGTCTGCCATTCTCTGAGCAGGTTTCCTGTGAAGACCTGATGTCAGCTTCAACATTTTCAGGCAACTTCTTGAATTTTTGATGCTCCGTCGCAAAGAACGTCTAAAACATCCCGTCAGTGCTGCGCTAGTGAAAAAAACACTATTGTGAATACAAATTAACCAGCAAAACATCTGGTTCTGCTGCTTGCTGTACTCCTAACAACACTTCTGCAAAAACAAACATCAGAGGTTCAGGCAGAATTTCCTGCAATGACTTGGAGAACGCCTGATAAAGCAGATTTATCAATCGCTGGCTGAACGAGGCAATCTCCTGCTGCCCGGGGCTTCATTCCCAACCAAGTTTATCACCAAGCTGCCACTTTAAGTGGGTGTTCGGATACTTCACACCTGGAGCCAGCCCAGAGGCTCCAGCAGACCCCTGGTGCTCTGCAAATGTCTCTTTAAAATGTATTGCTCCTCACAGATACACGAAGATCTGGAAATATAAACATTTCTAACAGGTCTTACAAAACCTCGTATTTCGTTATGCTCTTTTAAAACAGAAATATGAAAGGCTCAGATATTTCTAATCAATAGGGCAATCTGATTCCCAGTAAGAATGAAAGAAAAGCTATTTATTTTGTGCAATCAAGTGCTCAGTATTGCTGCAATTCTGCCATTACATAAAATAACACACATTTTCTTGCACACAGGCACACACAAAGAAATCTAATAATGTCTTTTTACCTTTCAAAGTAACCTTAATCAACAAAATTAACTTGCAAGGCAAACCACTGCTTTTTGAACTGAACAAGAGCGAGCTTGACTCAACACATGTGAGATGAGAGGCAGCAAAGTAATATCTGCTAAAATTATGTCTGGAAGCCAAAAATGGGGTGATTCTTGACAGGGAGGATGCACACTTGGAAACTTGGAAATTCTTTCATTCAAAGTCTTTAATGACCTCCAACCCAATTACATTTGCAACAAGACATGACAATGCAGTTGCTCCTATTTAAAAGTATGAGTGAAAAAGGAGTATTTTTGAAGCCTGATTCTTTTTTTTTTTACTTTTTAATCATGTTGAGATGAAGCTCATTTACTTAAAAAGAAAAAATGAAACAGAACGTCCTCTGCAGCTGGTCAAACAGATTACGAAACTCTAATCTCAGTAGCCTGAGGAAAACCAAAACTGTTTTTCAAGTATCTATTTTATAGAGCATTAGCTTTATACTTTTTAAAAGAGGCATTAACATAAGTGATCAGAACATCCCAGAACTTTCTGATCTAGTTAATCATATGACGTTATGACAGAGATTCTTGCTGTCATAATGCCAATGTTTCTAAACATTTCTAAAATCCTTTAAGTTTTGGTTTTTGTTTTTTTTTTTTTTCTAAATTAGACATGGAGAAGATCTATTTCAGTTTCTTCAGAAGTTTTTCTGTCCATTTTAGAGCTCTACAAAAGTAGTGCAGAATATTTTAAATAGACAGACACATACACACATAGCAAGGAACAATGTCAAGCTCCATGACCTATTTAAATATTTCTGATAGCTTTTTATACAAAACATTTTACTCTAATTCCTGCATAACTCATTTCTGGGAGTTCTCACCACTGTATTTCTTTAACTCGGTTGTATTCTTTACAGCTGAACTGGAACCACCAATAAAAAAAAAAAAATCAAAATTTGTCACCAAAGCTATTGCTGTGCCTCAGATATCGTTTTAGTGGGGTGTCAAGAGCTCTTATCACAGTTGTGACAAAGCAGATTGGTTTCCATTGAGAGATTTTGAGCTTTGTTTGTTTGTGGGGTTTTTTGCTAAGTCTGTTTCAAGCCAGTTTGGAGCTGAAACTCTGCTCTCTCAGTGTGAAGAGCTCTCTGCTGTGGCAGAAAAGTCTTAGATGAAAATGCACAGGCAGGAGAGGAGCTCAGTCCCACACAGCACAAGTTCTGTTGAGTTAATTGTGACTCTAACAGGAAGCCCCAAGATATCCCCCTGCTTTTGCTTCCCAGGAACACCCACAGGGTCCTGACAAAGCAGCTGAAATACCCCCAAAAGGCACACAAAGTTTTTTAAAAAAATATATGTAAATAGTTCTGAACATTCCTATATGGATGACATTGTTAAAATGCAAAAGAATTAAAAATAACAGAAAACAGATCAGGTTCTGAAGCAGCACCGGTTTCTCATTTGTGCAGCTACACATTAATGTCTCTCAGCCAAACTGCACAGCCACTTAGTGCATCCCAAAAGCTTCCCCTTAGCACAACTGAGACACAAACTGCAGCAAAAACATTATATGGCACAGTGTGAAAGATCTAAGGATTCCAGTGTTGGTAGAGTTGCATAAATCTCAGTCTAGTTCTGATCTGATAGTCAAACACAAATGAGCTTGGCCTCTGCTGCGATGGAGAAGGGACATCAGCTCTTCACATCCATCACTACGGTCAGTTAGAAACAAAAATGAGTGTTCAGCAACACCAAACTTGATCTGCAAATGCACATTTCCATACAGTGATTATAAACAGACATGAACATTGAGTAGAAGTGATGTGTTATTCTAGCAGCAGGAAGAAAATGACACATCAGGTAGGAGTCCCTCCTTGGAGCTCAGAGCACGGCTGTGGCCAAAGCTGTTTCCAGGCAGACAATTAAAATCTACTGATAATATCCAAATTGTTAAATAGTCCTCAGTAACTGCTGTTCTACCTTGCTGAATTACAAGTGCAAAACTGGAAAGGATGATATTGACAGTAGAAACAAAAGTAAGAGGAATTTAAGGGCAGCACACAGAGCTGTTTTCTGGAGCCAGTGTCAATACCCACCTTGCATTTCTCCTTCCAGCTGCCTGCAGAGTCCTGGCTTGGTCTGGTGGTGCAGGTGTTCCTGCAGGTACCTAACATTTGTCAGCCTGAATTTTTATTTATACAGTTCCATTCTGCCCCTGCCAGGCTTCTCAGTAAGCAAACAAACTCACTTTTCATGTTCAGTGTTGTTTGTGCTTTTACCCTTTCTTACGTAACAAACCTGGCAGAGAGCAGAGCAGGGAGAGCACCCAGGGCTCCTGCACCCTGTGGCTGCAGGGGGTTGGACACTCCTTGTGGGCATCATCCCTCCCTGAGGCAGCACATCCTCTTCCTGGGTCTCCTCCAGGTGAGGTCTGGGTGTGGAAAGGTGGGAGCAGGCTGGCAAGGGAGTCACGCTGGCAGCAGGAATGAAAAAGCCACGGAGGACCTTGGTACCACGGGTGGGGGCTCACGGCCGTCCCTGGGCACTCAGGTGGAAAATGGAAAGGAAAGCATTACAGCACTTCACGTATTTTCAACAATTTAAGTTGAAAAGAGAGATAGCACAACCTTCTATTGAAATGAAAATGTGCTGCTGAGACAGCGACTGTCAGGAGCCTGGATGGACTCAATGATCTCAGAGGTTTTTTTCCAGCCTTAATGATTCTGTGAGTCTGGACCAGCACCACTGCCCACCTGGCAAGTGCACAAATGATGTGTTTTCCTAAACCACAGGATTATCTGCATGAAGTTTTAGTGCTGCCATGTGCTAACTAGTTATTTCCCTAGGAAAGGGACTGGTTTGTTTTCCCCTGATCTGGTTCTAGAAGAACTTGCATCCATTCCTTTTTCTATCACAAATTATCTGTTCTGTTTTCAGGACACGATGAGTGATGCTCTCCTTCCTCCCCACACAAGGCTTTATTCCTTTGGGATGATCTGAACTGTCAGAGAGCAAGCCCCAGGGCAAAACTGAGCTGGGACTTCCTGGCAAATCTCAAGAGGGAAGTGAACAGGGCACTGCATGTTTTGTCTTCTAAGGCCAACATGGCCTGGTTTGAAATCCATGATCTCATGCCATGCTGGGCCAGGAAAATGGCCTATCCAGGGCATGGGTTTCCAGCATAAAATACAAGTGAGGTGATCTGATGTGACTCTATTCACCTGCCAACAGCCCTGGCAGAAAAATAAACAGGTTCTGGGGATGAGCTGCTGCTGGAGGCAAAGCAGGAACCATTAGAAGAGCTGCCCTGACCTGTGAGGAACTGGTGTTTTTGCTTTGAACTTCAGCAAATCTTAATGAACTCTTCATAACTGGCAATCTGGAGTTTTCACTGATGATTTATTTCTCTGGAGGTGCCAAATGCAGGAGACAAATTCAACACTGGAAATACAAATTTTGGGTCTCACAGTTGCTTGTCCAGGCCGGTGAAGGCAGTTCCAACATCACTGCAGGTCACTCTTTGAGTTGTATCAGGAATTAGATTTGTACATGAAGGCGCATCAGTGCTGAAGAATTTGGTTTCACAATTATTAAAACATGTTGATTTAATTTAAATTATTGACTTCAGTATGTTGAAGGCTTAAACTAAAAATAAGCAGAAACAGTTTTATTAACAGACTAAGTTAAAAAGTGGTTGTGTCCTCCTCCTTACTAGGAGTAGTAAGGTTTTGGTTTTGCTTGATTCATCCCTGCTTTACTGCTCTTCCACTCCTGTTATCTGGCAGTTTTGGAGGGGATGCTGCCAAGAAGTTCATTTAAAGTCCTACATTTTATCCTGTAGGCAACACTTATTTCAGTTTCCTGAGAATAAATTCCATAGGCAGACCCCTGAAGAGGAAAACAGGTGAACTCTCTCTGCCCCATAAATCAGTCAGGCTTCCTGAAGAGGCCAAAGATACAAAACTACAGATGCCTGCACAGAAACACCTCAGAAAAAGCTTCAGCCTTGAGGTTCACAGTCATCTCCATAAGCCACAAGCACTCAAGTCTTCCTCATGCATATTTTCAAGGGTCAACAAATCAAATATTTACTGTCTCAGTGAATACTGTTCATCAGTGAATCCTGACATGATGGTGTGAGAATCAGCAACAATGAGCTGCTCCCAGGAAAGGCATCCCACTCTCCAATGCAGGATGGAAGGTGGACATGAAATCCACATGCAACAGGCTTGAATAATAAAGTATATTTTCAATAAAACTAATCTAGTTTTCCACCTTCTTATCCACAAGTGCTGTATGAACACATAGAGGCGAGTTCCCTGGGCTGAAAGGCAACGAGGTGTACAAACAGAAAATATTCACTGTACAAATTTCAGTGGGAAAAGGAGCAGAGTACAACACAGAGAATAG